CTCCCTGACCAAGGCCCTTCTACCCTGATTGCTCTGTTTGGCCGGGCGGCCAGCTATAGGAAGAGTGTTGGTGGTTCCAAACTTCTTCCATTTAAGAATGATGAAGGCCACTGTGTTCTTGGGGACCTTTAATGCTGCAGACATTTTTTGGTACCCTTTCCCAGATCTGTGCCACGACACAATACTGTCTCGGAGCTCTAGGGACAATTCCTTCGACCTCATGGCTTGGTTTTTGCTCTGACATGCACAGTCAACTGTGGGACCTTATATAGACAGGTGTGTGCCTTTCCAAATCATGTCCAATCAATTGGATTTATCACAGGTGGACTCCAATCAAGTTGTAGAAACATCTCAAGGATGATCAATGGAAACAGGATGCATCTGAGCTCAATTTCGAATCTCATAGCAAAGGGTCTGAATACCTATGTAAATAAGGGGTTTCTGTTTTTTATTTGTAATAAATTTGCAAATCAATTAGAAACCTGTTTTTGGCTTTGTCATTATGGGGTATTTTGTGTAGATTGATGAGAAAAAAATATTGAATCCATGTTAGAATCCATTTTAGGCTGTAACGTAACAAAATGTGGAAAAAGTCAAGGGGTCTGAATACTTATCGAATGCACTGTATGGTTAGCTTCATCCTAAAATCTCATTCGAAATTAGGTGTTTTTGGTGTAACAGTAACGTTATATATCTACTATGCTTGGTATTATATTCGGTTCTGTTATGTAAAATGATAATCATTGTGATCTTGCAAGAGATTGATTCATCTTTGATCTAACTTTACTAAACAAGCACCATTGTGAGAAGTGATCATTTTCTATTTGTAATAATAATAATAATAATAATAATAATAATAATAATAAGTGATGAGTATGACTATTAGGCGTAGGCAACAGATCTTGATGAGATGTCATTTTAAGGGATTGGAGCGCCCTTCGTGGTGCTGAAAGGACAGCGCCAGGATCGTGCAACAACGTTACAGAAGTTTAACCAACCTGTGGTGCTGAAGGATAGCTCTGCCATTCGGCCAGTTCAGGAACAAACAACATGAATTATCAGTAGGCCTATAGCCTAATAGTCCTACGACTACGTGGTATAGCTATTTGAAGGCTATAGCCTAATGTAAATACAAATACATAGATTAATATCATTGCACTGTTTACGAGGATAGCTTTATTGCGAGTAGGCATTTTGTGTAGCTTACATGCTGTAACATAAATCAACTTTGATTAGCTTGAACAGATGGCTACAATATACCCTTTTACAGAATAAAAGAAAGCAAGAGGTGAACTATCCAGTCATAGAATTTATTTGCATAGATTAAACATGCTATCAAATCAATTGACCAAGTAGTGAACATTAATTCTTACTACAGGGGCCTACCGAGTGGCGCAGCAGTCTAAGGCGGTCACAACCGGCCGTGACCGGGAGTCCCATAGGGCGGCGCACAATTGCCCCAGCGTCGTCCAGGTTAGGGGAGGGTTTGGCCGGGGGGGCTTTACTTGGCTCATTGCGCTCTAGCAACTCCTTGTGGCGGGCCGGGTGCCTGCAGGCTGACTTTGGTCATCAGTTGAACAGTGTTTCCTTTGACACATTGGTCATTCCGGGTTAAGCAGGCAGGTGTTAAGAAGCGCGGTTAGGCGGGTCATGTTTCGGAGGACCCTCTCCTGAGCCCGTTGGGGAGTTGCAGCGATGAGACAAGATCGCAATTGGATATCACGAAAAAGGGGGTCGAAAAAATTTATAAAACAATAGTAAACAAACAAAAAAACGTACTACTTAGAATTGCAGGAAATTCATTTTAAAACAGCCATAAATCAAGCTTTAGGTGTGGTGTATTCACGCATCTCAATAAACTATAACCTAAATGCATTATTACCTTCAACTTGGCCCAATTCACATTTCCAATTGCCCACCTTGACTTACCAAGCTAGAATGGGCCCTGCATCCCAACCAACAGCCAATGTAGGCTAAATATCCCAAGCAAGGCTACAGCAACTTCCAGAGAGGGTCAGGCCACTCTGGTTTGGGTGTCCTCGGCAGAACGGTGCATGTCACCATAACCAAGTGGTCATGTCGTTCTGGGTTCCACTGGCAAGAGGGGTCCATGGAGTTTTATGAACATCAAGGCAGATTTATGATGAATTAGGATTTATTTTTTATGTTCTGATTGGCCAAAGTGGTCAAGCCTCCGACGGGCCTCTGCAGTGCACACACGTATCCTATAGTTCTTCATCATTCTCCACCACCAGAGAGAAGACCGGGAATAAACCACCATTTACCTACCCCTAGGCTGCTATACATATTTATTGGGCTGTCATTCTATCGTTTTTCATGGAATTTCAGTGGTAATTAAATATTATTTATTTAGAATTTATCAGAATACATTTTCCAGAAATAGTTTTACCAGCTCCATGTATTCTCAAATTGAAAAAAGTGAGGGAGCACTACACCCCTGGTCATGACTGGTTCGAAATATATGTTGTAAGACAGTGGCGAAGGATATCAATACTACTTAACGCGGATCCAAGTTCAGTTGTAAGATCCACTGGCGTCGTTGGCGTGGAGTGAATTGGATGTTTCTGACTGATCTTGGAACTGTGACAACGGGCAGCCTCTCCCGCTTGGCTCGATGGGATATGTAGTGATTTTGCCAACACAGCCAGTTATGAACACAGTCTTGTACCCTAGCCTCTTTTAGAATCTGAGAGTGAAATACTTACACTCTCGTCTCTTACATGTAGGCACAGCATTCCCGAACAGTCCCATTTTAAGTCAAAATGTTGAACAAACATCCTTTCAACTTACTTTACCTGTTGTCCGCCGATTTTGTCCCTATGTCGGAGGTAATCTGAGACAAAATATCCACAGGGAAGCATTATCAATCCGACCTTCAGTATGCTAGCCTGTATATTGGTTTTTCGCATGAGACAAACACTTGTACAATATGGCCGAGCCTAACCAAACCACAGACCGAACATTGTCCCACGCAACCAGCTGGCAAATTTTACAAACACTTCCAGCTGATTGCAAGGAAACGTGCTTCGGTTGACTACATTCGGTTACATTAGGCTATTGTTTACATATTATTCATCACGCACAATGCATCAGATTCAAAATGCAAGTGACAGAACCTACCACTGCAGCAAAAAGTCGGGTAAATAACAATTTCCTGTGGATACCCCATCTCCACCTCCTACTGTCAAAAAGACCAACAGCACTGACAACCGTAAAAATAATTGTATCTAACATTCTGGCTTGTAGAGACTCTTGCATATTTTTTAGGCAGACTTCTTTCAGACTGAATATCCCTGGTTTAACAATGGTAACAGTCTGATGGTAGTGAGAGGAAGCCCAGTGGCCAGCAGTGGGAGGAGATGGATTTTGGCCGACATTCTGCACATTTTCTCATCGATGAAACATTTGATCTCAATACAGTTTCCTGTTCCAAAACTTGAATATGTTTTGAACAGAGTGGACTAAGTTTTGTAGACTTTAACCTTTGCCAAAGTTTTTTTTTTTTTTTTTATCGCGTTGTTTAGAAGGTGCGCAAAGGCGAATTTAGTTATTGCAGACGCGCACTTCATAGCGTAGGCGTTCCCTAACGGAAATATGCAGATGTCTGCTAGAACAGGCATATAGTATCTAGCTAGCTCGTGCTTGGCTCTGCCCACCTCCTTGCTTGTTCTGACCACTATGACTGATTTGTTTCCATCGGAAACGACAGGCTGTGGTCTATCTTGGTTTAGTTATAAAAATCTTTGCTTTCGTATTTGTTGATTCAATCAGACTTTATTAATATAATCTACAAATCACCTTACATCATAATGACCCATTATTATTTGTAGATCAGCCAGTCAGTCACAATTTACCGATGATACATCACGGTTTTGTTACTCTCGAACACTGCGTCGGTATTTGTAGAGTGACTTCAATTTCAGACAGAAAGGCAGAGTGGGCGTATCTTTGTACAGTCTATGGCGTATCCTCGCGAGTCAGGAAATAAATATTATATTCTTATGTTGATCCCTTGAAATGGTTGGCTTATTCAATAAAAACGAATGAACAAATCACAGCAGCTCACCATTTGTACGATGCATGTAGGGATTGTCAAGTAGGCTATATTTGTAGGTTGAAGCCGAAGACTGATCCTCCATTTACTAGCAGCCTAGATAATTCGTAGGTTGGCCCGTTCGCGTGCGTGTGATTACGCAGACTGATTCGCACAACATGTGGGTAAATACTCATGTAGCGGACACACAGTAGGCCTATCCCGGATGGGAAACTCACGTTGTAGATCATCGAAGATGCGCGCACATACTTTAATTTTGCCATGCCCAATGACAGACCTGATTTTATCAGGTAGTCGTACGGGAAATGCAGTGGTTGATCTCATGACAGTAATATTTGTCAGCGTTCTAGTGTGAATTTAAGATAACATAAATGTACCTACTGAACCTGAAACACATTTAAACGTTTGTATGGTTAAGGATTAAATACAGAAAACAATCCAGCATTTGTGTGCTTAAAGCGTCACAGTTGTAATGACTACAATTCCCATAATGCTCCTCTCTGCTAACACAATAGGGCCACATTCAGCAGGACTAAACGGTGTGCCGGAAACGGTGCTGTTATGAATTTACATTTACATTTTTAGTCATTTAGCAGACCCTCTTATCCAGAGCGACTTACAGGTGCAATTAGGGCTAAGTGCCTTGCTCAAGGGCACATCGACAGATTTGTTCACCTAGTCGGCTCGGGGATTAGAACCAGCGACCTTTACGGTTACTGGCACAACATTCTTAACCACTAAGCTACCTGTTGAACGATCAGTTGAATGTTGTGAATAGGCTATTGTGTGCTGCACGAGTTTTCCGATTTGAAATGGGCAGAAACATATTGATCAGGCCACACCCATCAAACGGGACCAAACACACCTCAAATACTGTTGAAGAACGGTGCGCACCGTTTTGGGGACGTAGCAAACGTTTAATGAACTGAACGCATCCCAGCAGTGGGCTACAGAACCAAACAGAACCGTGCCAGACAGAGACCGCAGCAAGTAAACACACCTATTCGACACAGTGATAGCGGAAGCAAATTTAGGATACAGTTGTTATATTGATTGGGGGCTCACGTTAGCTACCGTACACGACACGGCAGTAAACCCTTGAGAAAACTGGAATATTATTACAGTATTTGTTTTCGCACGGGAATAGACTCCTGATATGCGCGTTATGCACTGCATCACTTTCGATAATATGGACGATTTTACCCTCAACATAGAGTACCTCATATGGGATTTAGGTTGGCATCTATAGCTAGGACATTATTCGTTGCATTGGACTGAAAGCAGCTGTCCTTGAGCTCCAGGATCATGGGCCCCATCATGCAGGAACGCACTGCCTCCACGCCACTGAAACGGGTGGTTTCCAAAGAGAAGATACGTACGAAAAATTCTGAAAATAACGGACCTATTACGAGGTAATCAATCAAATGCATTATAAAGCCATTTTAACATCAGCAGTTGTCACAAAGTGCTTATACAGAAACCCATCCTACAACCCCAAAGAGCAAGCAATGCAGATGTAGAAGCACAGTGGCTAGGAAGAAACCTAGAGAGGAACCAGGCTCTGAGGGGTGGCCATTCCTCTTCTGCCTGTACGGGTGGAGATTATAAGGGTACATGGCCATTAATGCCAGATCGTTCTTCAAAATATTCAAACGTTCATAGATGACCAGCAGGGTCAAATAATAACCACAGTGTTTATATAGAGCAGTTGTTCCCCCAAACTGTAGTAATGTTCGAGTCATTCAAATATCATATGGATACACATTAGACATGGCAAAAATGTATAGAAACACAAGAAAATGAGCTTTAAAACTGAGAAAATGTTTTCTGCACACCATGACAAAATGTGTAGAATTACAGGAAATAAGCATTAAACCTGCAACGTTTTCACTATGCCAACAAGAGGGGTGTGAACAGTTTGTGCTAGCTAGCACCCAGTGTCCTTCAGGTAAATCCATATGAATTCAATCACTTTTTGACAGCATCACTTTTGATTTAATCAAAATGTTGTAAACATGTTTGCCCATGGAAGAAGTGGTCAGAAAGTGACTTTTTGGACCTGAATGCCAAATCATTTAGGATATTTATCTTGGCCAGGTCGCAGTTGTAAATGAGAACTTGTTCTCAACTGGCTTACCTGGTTAAATAAAGGTACAAAAAAATAGAGGTGCTCAAAGTTGACCCATTTTGCATACCCCACCATACCGTGAGACATCCATGTCTTCATCACTGGAAAATATACAGTAAATGGTTGAGTTTGATATAATTAAAAAGCTTACAAACAGGGTTGTCAAACAATTTCATAAATAAATAATTGAATAAACATTCTAACATTTTTTTGGACCTTTAATGTAATAGAAAGAAGACGAGTAGGCGGCCAGTACGTTGCAATAAACTTGAGTGAACTATTAACAGAATGTATTTACAAAAGAGTACATATGGGAGCAGTCAGCATAGTACATCAGGATGCACAACTGCAACGCATTTCGACTACTAGAGTTTTCCTCAGGTAGCGTTGTGGACGGAAGCTGACATGTCTCTAGAAATGGAGGTGGGGACAGGTAAATGTCACATGACAGGTAAATAACTACATACAAAACAAATCTACAACATTATCACGAGGCAACATGAAAAATAGCGCACAGGAATGTATACAAAGAACGTGCGTGAAGGGATACGCTATCAGAGTTGCGTGCGTGACGCCTTGATCTCACCGATACTGTTTTCGTGCAAAATAGTAGGCAGCATCATCTGGCTATGTGTGCAACAAAAGTTCAACATTCACCTTCTGCTACCATTTCTGTGAAGCCGTCTACGCATACAGTTTGACGCATACGTTCGATAAATCCAATGAATGCACCACATAGAACGCACTGCAACTGCCTCTGCAACGCAATGCTGCAAGTCAAACACAGCATTCCATTGGAAATGAATTTACTTCTGGTGTACCAAAATGCATTGACACTTGGTGTGATCGAGGCGTAAAAGACAGATTATGCACTGGTGCGTAAACTACATTGTATAAAAACACACACAGGAAGTACACCGTGGCGGTAATCAGCAACTCAGCAGTGCAAGGAATTACACAAAAGGCTGTATACTATAGGGGAAACTATGTATACTAGAGAAAACAGTTCAGCTGTAGTTGTTTGTTTAATCCGTGGGGAGCGACAGTATCTAGGAGGTGGATCCATTTAGCCTCTTTTTCTTAGTGATAAACGGTCAAAATCACCCCCTCTCTCATTTCTCTGCAATTTCTCTACAGCCCAGAACTTTAGTTCATTGACTGTGTGTTGGTGTTGAATAAAGTAGGCTGCTAGAGGATAATTCTCGTCCTTGCGTCTAATATAGCTCTTGTGTTCTATGATCCCTGTTCTCAGTGCGCATATGGCAGGGTTCTTCAATTCCGGTCCTGGAGGGCCGAAACACTTCTGTTTTTTATTTCTACCTGGTAGTTAATTGCACTCACCTGGTGTCCCAGGTCTGAATTAGCCCCTGATTAGAAGGAGAGGATGAAAAACAGAGGTGTTTCGGCCCTCCAGGACCGGAATTGAAGAACCCTGGCATATGGTCTTCACGATGTATAATTTGGAGCACGGGCACTGGATGGCATAGATGACTCCTTTGGAAGCGCATGTAGTCAGGCACTTCAGGGTGATTGGTTTTTGGATGGGGAAATTGTTTTTGTGATTGTGCGCAACAGGAAGTGTGCGCACGGGTAATGGCCTATAGGGAGTGTGAGGCCATCGATAGTGTTTTGTGTGGGTGCATCAGTTTTGTGTATAGAGTGCACCAGTTTGTCTCTGAGATTGGTGTTCCTTGTGAGAGCCACAAGGGGTTTCTCATTAAAATTGTCATGTAATAGCAGGACATGCCAATGTCTGTGCAGGACTATTTTGTTGGCAATGGGGGAGTATTGGATACTGCATAATAGTCGGTTGGACTGTTGCTTTTTTCGTGGTTGTAGCAGTATGTCTCAATGTGAATACAGTGCTATCTTGTATGCTGTTTTTATGACCTTTTGACTGTAGCCTCTCTCCGTAAACCTTACCTTCTAATCATTAGCTTTTTCAATGAACTCATTTCTATCCGAGCACAGTCTCCTGAGATGTGCAAACTGTCTGACAGGATTGTCTTTGAGTGTGTTCGGGTTGTAGCTGCTAGCCAGTAGTAATGTGTTAAGGTCGGTTTCTTTTCTATACTGAACAAAAATATAAATGCAACATGTAAAGTGTTTCATGAGTTGAAATAAAAGATCCTAGAAATGTTCCATACACACACAAAGCTTATTTCTCTCAAATAAAGAATTTGGCAGTACGGCCAAACGGCCTCACAACCGCAGACCACGTGTAACCACGCCAGCCCAGGACCTCCACATCCGGCTTCTTCACCTGCGGGATCGTCTGAGACCAGCCACCTGGACAGATGATGAAACTGAGGAGTATTTCTGTCTGTAATAAAGCCCTTTTGTGTGGAAAAACTAATTCTGATTGTCTGGGCCTGGCTCCCCAGTGAGTGGGCCTATGCCCTCCCAGGCCCCACCCATGGCTGTGCCCCTGCCCAGTCATGTGAAATCCATAGATTAGGCCCTAATTTATTAATTTCAATTGACTGATTTCCTTATATGAACTGTAACTCAGTAAAATAATTGAAATTGTTGCGTTTATATTTTTGTTCAGTGTGTGTGTGTATATATATATAGGCGGCAGGTAGCTTAGTGGTTAAGAGCGTTGTGCCAGTAACCGAAAGGTCGCTGGTTCTAATCCCCGAGCCGACTAGGTGAAAAATCTGTCGATGTGCCCTTGAGCAAGGCACTTAACCCTAATTGCTCCTGTAAGTCGCTCTGGATAAGAGCGTCTGCTAAATATGTTAAATTTAAATATATATGGTAGTGGAGAGTCTGTTGCCATGGTTTTTGATGAGGTCAAAAAAATTGACACGGTCAGTGCTGAAGTCCATAGTGAATCTGAGGTTTGTGTTCCATGTATTGAGGAGAGCAAAAAAGTCATGGAGCACTTGTTCGCTACCTGTCCACAGCATCAGTATGTCGTCAATGTACCTGTACCAACCCATGACGTTTGGTAGGAAATGGTTGACCTGGGGATCATACGCACTGTGTCTTTCGAAGGTTACCACATACAAATTGGCAACATTAGGGGCCATAGTGGCTCCCATCGCAACTCCTATTTGTTGGAGGTAGAAGTCCTTTTTGAACAAAGTTATTGGCAAGAGCAATGGAGGCCAGAGAGGTAATGAAGCCAGAGGAAGATACATTCTCTTCTCTCCGTAGGAGAGAATGACATCGATCACTTCTTTTTGGGGGATGTTGGTATACAGTGATTCTACATCAAAGGACCTTAACCTTTAACGTAAATTATCTAAAAATGCGTAAACACTGATTTTCTTCATATTCACATATGTTGTAGCTTAGACTTTAATTTACATCTTAGGATTTTCTGTTGTGCCCGCCATTGGTTGAGACCCAACTTGCTCTTGAATACAGGGTGGGTGTCATTTAAATCATATAAATATAATTCATAGAATGGACCTATCCCTTCAGACCATTGCAATTTAGCTGGTACACCATAGAAATGTAAATTGAATTGAAATTTGATCTTCTAATTACTACCATAAAGATGTATTTTCTATTATCTATATTTCTATGATGTCAATAGGTTTCCTATGGAGGATTGAGTATAATTTAAAACTACATATTCCCATTCAAATCAACATTCTCTGATGTGTGGACCTCTAACCATCTTTGTCGTACTATTTGAAAGTCAAACTTTATTCAATTTTATTACATTTATCAGCCAAAACATGACACCCAACCTGTATTCAAGAGCATGTTGTGTCTTAACCAATGGTGGACACAACCGAAAATCTCAGATGAAGTAAAATAGGGTCTAAGCTACAACATATCCGAATATGAAAAAATCTGAGTTTCCTCATTTTTAGATAATTGACGAGGTAGAAAAATGTTTTTTAAATTAAAATTAAATACATTTCAAGAAATTATAAAACAGTTTGACAGCCCTGTTTGTAAGTTTTTAAATTATATAAATCTCAACCGTTTATCTTTTTCAGTGATGATGACATGGATGTCTCATGGTATGCAAAATAGGTCAACTTTGAGCACCTTTTATGTCTTGAATGTTTTGGCATTCAGGCCAAAACAATCACTTTCTGAGCACTTCTATAATGGACAAATATGTATGGAAGGTTTTGTTTAAATCAAAAGGGGTGGTGTCAAAAAGTGATTGAATTCAAATGGGTTTACTCCTTCGCTTAACGCCTGCCGAAAACCTGCCCACACCGTGGTTAACAGAACTGCGGGAAAACAGTGTGCTAGCTATCTACATATCCCGCCTCCTGCTTGCTATGTACCGCCGGTGTCCTAGTTAGCTACCTAGCATCTAGTGTCCTTCGCTAACACTTGCCCTAGCCGTTGTTAACATACTGTAACTGCAGGAAAGCAGTGCCCAACAGGCACTTCTTCTTCTGTGGGTTTTATCGGCGGTTGGCATCCAACATTATGGTGCATTACTGCCACCTACTGTACTGGAGCGCCACCGCCTCCAGCCTGTTTAATGGAGTCCTAGCTTAAAAACTGACCAATAGAAGTATAAAGAGGGGTCCCGAATTGCATCTAGTGCAAATAGATAATTACAAGCCCTCTCCCGTCTCCTCACTCCACTCTCTTGTTTCAACAGTTCAAAAAAAGCTAACAAGGTGAAGAAGGCAGGAGCTCAGCTCAAGAATGCCCTTCCAGGGCCAGGTCAGGATAAGGACACTGTGTCGACAATCCAGAGGGTGAGTGACTTGTGGTGAAATAATCTTGCAGGTCTTGCAGATCATGAGGTCTTGTTATGTGCACAATTACCATTAACCAGACTAGTGTTTGGCAAATAACTTATTTTCCAAAGGCTACTTTGTTCAGTATATGATACATTTTCTCCACAGGGCATTCATTCAAAGGGGAGCAGAGTCAAATCTGGCACTATTCGAAACACTACCAAACTGGCAAGGTAAGTTTATAGGGGAACCCTTTCTTAAAATGACTCAGTGCAGTCAAATCCTTAACAACACTTTAACTCTCCACAGCCCTCAAGAAGAAGGAGGATTGAAGTCTAAACCACACACATACTCCTCAACACAGAGGCAGGAGGAGAAGCGAGAGGTGCAGCAAACGTCCCCATGTTGCGGTGAGGTAGATCAGAACCATGGGGTACTGGGCCGAAGTCGGAAAGCTCTCTCTCTGCCCCTCTCCCCTATACCTGGGCTGTGCCAGGGGCCAATGCGGCTTCACACACACACTCAAGTCCCCACCCTGGAGTCTCTCAGGCAGTTTGAGCAGAAGGAAGACGACTCGGACAGCGCCAGCGACCTGTCAGACTCAGAGAGACTGCCCGTACTCCCCTCCCCCTGTACCCCATGCACCCCACCCCATCTCAACCTCCGCGCTGAAGTGATCAACTCCAGTGACTTCCCCCCAGCCTTCCCAGGACCACACGGGGCCACGAACGACAACGACAGCGTCAGCTACAGCTACCCTGACTTCCTGCCTCCTCCCTTCAACACCTGGAGCCTCCGCCAGCTGGCTGTGTTCCTCCACACAGAGGGCCGAGGCGCACCTCGCCCCAAACCCGTGGGGCCCCTGGAGAAGTACCTGGAGAGGCTGCTGCAGTTGGAGTGGCTCCAGATCCAGACTGTGCAGGCGGAGACCTGCCGACCTGCGGGAAGCCGTCCCAGGGCCCTGGGCTTCCCCTCTGCCACCACCACGAACGCCCCTCGGCCCCACACGGCGCCCCCCAGCCGCCTCAGCTCCCCCAAAGGCCTGCGGCAGTGTCAGCGCTCCTTCCCGTTTGCCCCTCACAACCCCCCTTCGCTGGCAGCACAGCAGCTCGCCCACCTCCCTGTCTGCCCCCATTGTCACATCCGCTACCCTCTGTGCAATGGGAGCTGCTCCTCCTACGCCTACCAGCGCCACTCACGCCTCAGTCCCCTGCTGGAGCGCCGAGCCAGGCCCGGGGTTCCCCCGAAGAGGAGCAGCAGTGAGAGCCGGGTCACTTCCTCTGAGGGTAGGGCCACAGGCTGCAGTGGAGGAGGACAGACTCCAGGTAGCCCCTCGGCAGGAAGAAGCCACGTCAGAAACATGCAGGCGGTGGGCAACATCCGCAAACCCGCCCAGGAGCCAGGCACTAACGGTAAAGGTCAGGCCGGTGTGAAGAAAGGCCGCGCCAGAGCCAATTCGGAAGCTGAGGGGAGGAAGGAGTCCAGTACGGCTAAGGCTGGTGTGGAGAAACGCACACACTCTGGAAGTAAACGAGAGGCTAACACCACCAAGAGGGTCGAGAAAGACTGTCAGAGGACAGAAACAGGAAGTCAGGCATCTAAAAGTGGGGTTAAAAGAACAGTAAAAGAGCCACTCTCTCTCTCCAAGGCACCATTGTCTGCCAAGGCGAATGGAAAAGCAAAGAATGTTCACTTTATTGCAAAGTAACCACATTTCCTGGCTCAGTACAGGAGCTTAAAGCTATGCTTGATAAAGTTCTATATAATATACAGTGCCTTCAGAAAGTATTCATACCCTTTGACTTATTCCACATGTTGTTGTGTTACAGCCTGAATTCAAAATGGATGACATATATTTCTTCTCTCACCTACATAAAATACCCCATAATGACAAAGTGGAAACATGTTTTTAGAAATGTTTGCTAATTTATTGAAAATGAAATACTGAAATGTCATTTACATAAGTATTCACACCCGAGTCAATACATGATAGAATCACCTTTGGCAGCGACTTACAGCTTTGAGTCTTTCTGGGTAAGTCTCTAAGAGCTTTGCACATCTGGATTGTACAATATTTGCACATTATTATTTTTTGAAAGCTCTGTCAAGTTGGTTGTTGATCATTGCTAGTCCTGCCCTAGATTTTCAAGCCGATATAAGTCGAAACTGTAACTAGGCCACTTGGGAACATTCAATGTCATCTTGGTAAGCAACTTTTAGGTTATCGTCATGCTGAAAGGTGAATTTGTCTTCCGGTGTCTGTTGGAAAGCAGACTGAACCAGGTTTTTCTCTAGGATTTTGCCTGTGCTTAGCTATATTCCATTTATTTTTATCCCAGAAAACTCTGTAGTCCTTGTCGATGATAAAATGATGAAACCACCATCATGCTTGAAAATATGACGAGTGGTACTCATTGATGTGTTGGATTTGCCTCAAACATAACGCTTTGTATTCAGGATATAAAGTTAATTTGTGCAGTATTACTTTAGTGCCTTGTTGCAAACAGGATGCATGTTTTGGAATAATTGTATTCTGTACAGGCTTCCTTCTTTTCACTCTGTCATTTAGGTTAGTATTGTGGAGTAACTACAATGTTGTTGATCCATGCTCAGTTTTCTCCTATCACAGCCATTCAACTCTGTAACTGTATTAAAGTCACCATTGGCCTCATTGTGAAATCCCTTAGCGGTTCCCTTCCTCTCCGACAACTGAGTTAGGAAGGATGCCTGTATCTTTGTAGTGACTACATTGTGACTACACTGTATTGACACACCATCCAAATTATAATTAATAACTTCACCATGCTCAAAAGGATATTGTCTGCTTTAAAAATATATATATCTACCAATAAGTGCTCTTCTTTGCGAGGCATTGGAAAACCTCCCTGGTCTTTGTGGTTGAATCTTTTTTTTAGGCTTGCCATAACAAAGGGGTCGAATACTTATTGACTCAAGACATTTCAGCTTTTCATTCGTAATTCATTTGTAAAAATGTCTAAAAACATAATTCCACAGTGAAACAAAATCTCTATTTAATCCATTTTAAATTCAGGCTGTAACACAACAAAATGTGGAAAATGTCAAGGGGTGTGAATACTTTCTGAAGGCACTGTAACTGTTTTACTGCTGTTTAAATCACAACGCTAGCTGTTTGCAACTTTCAAAAGGTCAAATAAAAAATATATAATAATCTATTTCATGTAGAATTGATTTCAAGTGATACTTTAATAGGTCAAAGAATAAAAACATGGCCAACGTGTTGTACTGTAACAATCTTGCACTGTAACAATTTTGGTTTGGACAATACACGCAAGCCTTTACATGGAACTTGGACCATGATATCTGATATTAGGATCTAATGTGTGGAGTAAATATTTTTTCCAGATATGTTTATTTCAGACTGTAATCAATGAAGGCTTTTAGGCAAACTGAACACTTTGGCTCAAGGCACTTTGCACTGTACAGTCATTTTTGTCAGTACAGGTTATTGATGTTGAAAAGTAGACAACACATAGGCCTATTATTAGTCAACCATTAATTATTTAGTCAGCAAGTAGGCTGATCCACAGAGCCTGAGGTTCACTCAAAATAGCCATCATCATCGGTCTAGTGGAGCTGTTTTTGGTGTTGGAATGTATTTATTCCTGTATTCTCTCACTATATTTTTTATTTGTTGCTTGACCATCATGTTGTTGGTGCCTCATATGTTTCTGTGTCTATTAAGAGTTCAATTGTTGAATACGGAGAGACACACTTTGTGATATTGTTGGAATAATGGTTTATTGGTTCAAGTTCGATATGAATGATATACTCTATTCAAGGTATACTTGTGTAAGGACTTTCTCTTGTTTGAATATACTTTAATTTACATTGTCTATTACAAGTATATTTTGCATAGGGCTGAGCTCTTTTTTGTTCAAGAGAGACAGTCTAATGTTTGCTACAAATGTAAATGCGTATTTTTCCAAATTTTGTATACCATAGTTCTATTTATGATAGATATTGTGTTAATCACATTTTGATTCGCATTTGTCATTGATGTTGTTATGTTTACAGTTTTGGGTAGGAGAAATGTTAAGCAAAAAAGCTGAATGTATATTTTTCGCATAATTGAACAGTTATTTCATTTGTTTACATTAGAACATCTATCAATTTATTGTACTTTATCATGTGGAATTTATTAATTGAAACGCTACATACATGTAATAGTCGTGCTGTGTTAAATTGCACTTTATTTATTCAATATTAATGTAAAGTATCTAAGCCATAGATCAGGGAGTAGAGTTGTTGTAAACATTCTCACACGCACGCAGAAAGATTGTGGTACATATTTTCTCAATGTTGAATGCAGTTGTTTGTAAGGCATAGAAATAAATATGCTTTGCACTGAATCATTGAGCGATATCATTGAGTGAGTGTGACCTCACCATCCATGAGTAGGGTTGTAAGAAAATACATATTTATTAAATATTGATGGAAACTCAAGAGTGGTGATATGTATACTGTGTACACAGACATGATTAATTCTTCATTTGAATTGGAAAATATTTTTTTGTAGTGTGTCATATCCTCTTCTGGCCTGGAAATGGTTTTAGAAGCTGACGGAGTTGCTTCTTCCTGTCGTTTACACAGCCTGTTGTGGAGAAAACAGTTGTCAAAACACAATCTGATATTATGCTCTCTCTAAGGTGAGAAGCAAATGTATTGAAGTGTAAAAATTAATCATTTTGACTGACTTGAGATGGACTTGAACCCAAGTGTGGTGACAGAGTAACAGTTTAAGCCAGACTTACCGAGGTGTGTGTTTGCAGTGAAACAGGCGCTGCCCAGTGTCTCTAGGTTGACATCTTCTCTGTAGACGGGTCCATCGTTCCACATAAGGTCATAGCCACCAACCCTCTTCTCTCTGCCAGTCAACCTAAAGAGAACAACCAAAGAGAGAATATAGACGATAGGAAAAATAACATCAAGTAGTCTCGGGAAGTGCTGTTGCCTTAGGTCTGGGAAGAATAGGGGATTTTCTTGCCAACTTCGAAAGGGTAGAAAAAAATATTCCAGACAGACAACTCTCCTAACAAATCACAAATTTGGGTAGGCTCGGCTTAAAATGCAGGCGGGAATTGTGCTCTTGAAATATTATCACCTCGGAAACATGAAAGAGGATAGCTAGGCTAATTATAGCCACAGCCAGTCAGTGGTGGAAAGCATGTAACGCTAACGTTAGCTGTCATGGTGCATGCAAACTACTAACTTGGAAAATACACATTGAAAATATCATTTGCCAGCTCCATCTAGCTAGCTACCAATTTTGTGTCCGGTGGGGATATTTATGCCAGGGTACAAGCGTATAAGGCGGTGAAGTAAGAAAGCTGTATTTCCTGCTTTCCTGTCCATTTCCGACTATACCAACTGGACGTTTGTATCGGTTCAGACATGTATGTTGGAACATTGTTCATGTGGGAGGCAACCCATCTGCACAGGGAGACTACCAATCAAGTCTTTTCATCAGTGAAAAGTAACGAAGATAGGAAAGGAGCAAGCCAATATTTGGACCAAATTCCATCACTAAAGGCAACCACACTTTGGATACTGTATTTTCTGGGGATAGTTCAATATCTACTGACAATTGCAGTCTGCACTGGAGCTTATAGGGTGTGTCAGGTGTAACGCAGTTAACATTAATACAGAGTAAACATTCTGAGTTGAACCTGTAGTGTGGTTTCCCTTTTATCTGTGATTGATTTGATCTGTGATTGGTCGGCAAGTAGCTTAGTGGTTAAGAGCGTAGTGCCAGTAACCGAAAGGTCGCTGGTTCTAATCCCCGAGCCGACGAGGTGAAAAATCTGTCTGTGCCCTTGAGCAAGGCACTTAACCCTAATTGCTCCTGTAAGTCGCTCTGGATAAGAGCATCGGCTAAATGACTAAAATGTAAATTTAATTGGGCCTTAGTTTGCATAGAGGCTGTGTTGGTCAATTCCAACTCAATTCAGGAGGTAAACTCAAATTCAATAAGAAAGAAATTCCAATCGAAATTTGTGTACTTCCTGAATTAATTGAATTGAAATGGAGCTGCCCCCAACCCTGCCACAAAGGGTCATAATGACGTCTACCCTAATCCATAGATATTCAGCTCTATCACTAGGGGGATATATTGTCTGTTGATTTTTCAGTAGCTGTCCAGTATTTTAGCTGGCCAGATTTTCTATGAAATATGACCTATACTTTATTACAATATGAGTGAAATAGATTCCCCCCCCCCCCAACCCCCTTTTCTGTGAACTCCTATCTGAACAGTTAATTTGTGAAGAGCTGATTTGCCAGTTCAGCTAATGAGACGTATCAGCCAAAGTATGAGAGGTCAACTTTTTGAAACCGTCTGTTTCAGATACAGGTTTGAGAAGGGGTATTACAGTGGCTATTCTCAAATTTATGCTCTGGCTACAAATAAAGTAAAGGACAAGTGAGTCAACAACATTATTTGGCTATGAGTTCACAGAATGAGCTGTTAAAAGTTATATTGTCCTTGGAGAGTTACTTTAAAACCCAGTATGTCACCGATTGGCCTGAGAATCTTGATTTCCTAGGTCTAAATCAGTGGCTAAATCAAAAGCAAAGAAGGAAACCAGTAGGCATGTTGGCCCTGGGTTGAGTTCCTTGCCCTACTCCCTACCTGCCCTCCATGTCCACGATGTGTAAGGTGTCCTCCAGCAGACAACACTTCATCTCGTAGTCCTCTTGGCTGCTGGCGGTGAGAGAGGGAGAGGCGTTCACCTCTATCAGCCACCTGTGGAGAGACACATTCTGAATTGCGATTCGACTTGATCAGACTTGAATGTTCGCACCAGTCTCCCATTGACATCAATTAAAGATTTAAGTGAAAGTCAAGAGTTGCGTGCGCTTATAACTCTGAATCGGCCCAAAAGAGATTAGGATTACGGCAATGATCCAACATTAAGATGATCCAAGAATAGTGCCAGACCTGGCTATCACTTTACATTGTGAACACACCAACAGATCCACAGTGATACGCCATCCCATCTGGTTTGCGCTTAGTGGGACTATCATTTGTTTTTCATGTAATACTTAAGAGTGTCTAGCGCCCACTTCATCGCTAGACACTCTTTCTCGACAATCAAGTACTTATTTTCTCGGGGTATCAACTTCTGGCTTATGTACATGATGGGGTGTTCTTCCCCATCATGTACCTGGGACAGGACGGCCCCTAGTCCTGTGTCGCAGGCATCCGTCTGCACCAGCATCGGTACCTGGAAATTGGGCGTCACGAGAATCGGATGGGAGCACAGGGCTTCCTTCAGGCGCCTGAACGCCGCTTCGGCCTCATCCGACCACTTCATTGTTTTTGGGAGGCGGACCCTTGTCAGATCGGTAAGGGGGGAGGCTATAGCCGCAAAGTTGGGGATAAACCGGCTATAGTTTCCCACCAGCCCCAGGAAGGACTTGACCTGTGTCTTGGTGAGGGGAACGGGCCAGTCACGAACCGCCTCAACCTTCCTCTCCTGGGGCTTGATGTTCCCCCGTCCGATCAAATATCCCAGGTACTCCACCTCCTCGAACACCAGCTTGCATTTCTTTGGATTCGCTGTCAACCCGGCTTGCCAGGCTGTGGATGATGATGTCATCCAAATAGGCCACTGCGTACTGTTGGTGGGGTTGGAGGACTCGGTCCATCAGGCGCTGGAACGTGGGTGGGGCTCCATGTAGACCAAACGGGAGGTCCCGTTATAGAATGCCGTCTTCTCCCAGGAGGAGGCTGCCAAGGGTACCTGCCAATATCCCTTGGTTAGGTCCAGGGTGCTGATGTACCGGGCCTTTCCCAACTGGTCGATGAGCTCGTCCACCCTCGGCATGGGGTAGGCTTCGAACAAACTGATGTTGTTCACCCCCCGGAAGTCAATGCAGAAACGCAGTCCGGTTTGGGCACCAACATAATGGGGCTGCACCATGCGCTGTGGCACTCCTCGATGACTCCCATCCTCAGCATACCCTCCATCTCCTGCTTCACGGCCTTCCTTCGGGCCTCGGGGATCCGGTATAGCCTTTTTCGTACCGTTCCTTCGGCTTCTCGGAAAACACGGCGGTGTCCGCTCTTGTCAGTCGCCGGCTTGTACTCTTTTTCTCCCCTCGGACAATCTCGTCCCACGAGGAGGGGTACCGGCAACTCAGGTACAGCACCCACCCTCATCTGGCACTCCCTTGTGGCGTCACGATGGTGGCCTGCCAGGTCGAATACCGCTTGGTGTCGCCATGGACACAGGAGACAGACATCTCCTCACCACGGTCGGTCGGATGGGCCAGCAGGCGTGCTTGTACGAGCGTTACCACACTCCCGGAATCCAACAGAGCATGGGTGTCGTGACCATCGACTATCACCTGGACCATGGGTGCTGGTGGTTCGCTGTGGGCCCAACAGGATGTGATGTAGTTTACTGCGTGGCCCGGCTCGTCTCCGGGGCCCGCTGATGGCATCGACTCCTCTCGACCCGGGCAATTCCATGCGAGGTGTTCACGGGCGCCACACTCAAAATGCCTCCTTTGGTCTTCATCCATCTGGGGTCGTCGGCAGGGGGTCGACTCTCTCCCGGCTGTCTCTCCGCGGGTCTGCAGTCCTTTAGCCCGGTTGACTGTCGGATTGGGTAGTACGGTGGTGGGGTCGTCCTTCCGTCCCCTCCGACGGCTCCCGGACTCGGCCTGCGTCCCCTTCAGCAGGGCCTCGGTATTCTGGTGCATCTCCACGGCTCCCAAGAGGTCCTCCAAGGTCTGGGGCGCGCATAGGCACGTCGCTCTCTTCATGTCGTGTGGTAGCGCCCGTAAGAAGTGATCCATTACCACTTTGTCGATAACGGGGAGGGTGGCTAGGTTGGTTAGGAGCCATGCTCTGGTGATGCGCAGTAGGTTGCTCATCTGGGCTCGGGGGGAAGCTTCGGCCACGAACCTCCAGTCGTGGACCAGTTGGGCCCGACAGGCCAGGCTGTAACGTAGCGGCTGAGTACCTCCATCTTGAGACAGTCATAGTCAGCCGCCTGTTCGGTGTTGAGGTCATAATGCGCCTTTTAGGCGTCTCCAGACAGGAATGGGGCCAGCAGACTCGCCCACGTCACCTTGGTAGGTCTCGATGTCGTCATTCTGTAGACGCTGTTCTTCCGGGGTTCGTTCCTTCTAGACAGAGTTGCAAAGAAAAAGACATATCTCAGACTGCCCATCTTAATCTTTTCTTTTTATTGACCTGTCTGAGATATGGCTTTTTCTTTGCAACTCTGCCTAGAAGGTCATCATCCCGGAGTCGCCTTTTCACTGTTGACGTTGAGACTGGTGTTTTGCGGGTCCTATTTAATGAAGCTGTCAGTTGAGGACCTGTGAGGCGTCTTTCTCAAACTAGACACTCTAATGTATTTGTCCTCTTGCTCAGTTGTGCACCGGGGCCTCCCACTCTTCTTTCTATTCTGGTTAGAGCCAGTTTGCGCTGTTCTGTGAAGAGAGTAGTACACAGTGTTGTGCGGGATCTTCAGTTTCTTGGCAATTCCTCGCATGGAATAGCCTTCATTTCTCAGAACAAGAATAGACTGACAAGTTTCAGAATAAAGTTATTTGTTTCTGGCCATTTTGAGAGGGGAATCGAACCCACAATTGCTGATGCTCCAGATACTCAACTAGTCTCAAGAAGGCCAGTTGTATTCCTTCTTTAATCATCACAACAGTTTTCAGCTGCGCTAACATAATTGCAAAAGGGTTTTCTAATAAAAATGATAAACTTGGATTAGCAAACACAACGTGCCATTGGAACACAGGACTGATGGTTGCTGATAATGGGCCTCTGTACACCTATGTACAGTGGGGGAAAAAGTATTTAGTCAGCCACCAATTGTGCAAGTTCTCCCACTTAAAAAGATGAGAGAGGCCTGTAATTTTCATCATAGGTACACGTCAACTATGACAGACAAATTGAGATTTTTTTTTCTCCAGAAAATCACATTGTAGGATTTTTAATGAATTTATTTGCAAATGATGGTGGAAAATAAGTATTTGGTCACATACAAACAAGCAAGATTTCTGGCTCTCACAGACCTGTAACTTCTTCTTTAAGAGGCTCCTCTGTCCTCCACTCGTTACCTGTATTAATGGCACCTGTTTGAACTTGTTATCAGTATAAAAGACACCTGTCCACAACCTCAAACAGTCACACTCCAAACTCCACTATGGCCAAGACCAAAGAGCTGTCAAAGGACACCAGAAACAAAATTGTAGACCTGCACCAGGCTGGGAAGACGGAATCTGCAATAGGTAAGCAGCTTGGTTTGAAGAAATCAACTGTGGGAGCAATTATTAGGAAATGGAAGACATACAAGACCACTGATAATCTCCCTCGATCTGGGGCTCCACACAAGATCTCACCCCGTGGGGTCAAAATGATCACAAGAACGGTGAGCAAAAATCCCAGAACCACACGGGGGGACCTAGTGAATGACCTGCAGAGAGCTGGGACCAAAGTAACAAAGCCTACCATCAGTAACACACTACGCCACCAGGGACTCAAATCCTGCAGTGCCAGACGTGTCCCCCTGCTTAAGCCAGTACATGTCCAGGCCCGTCTGAAGTTTGCTAGAGTGCATTTGGATGATCCAGAAGAGGATTGGGAGAATGTCATATGGTCAGATGAAACCAAAATAGAACTTTTTGGTAAAAACTCAACTCGTCGTGTTTGGAGGACAAAGAATGCTGAGTTGCATCCAAAGAACACCATACCTACTGTGAAGCATGGGGGTGGAAACATCATGCTTTGGGGCTGTTTTTCTGCAAAGGGACCAGGACGACTGATCCGTGTAAAGGAAAGAATGAATGGGGCCATGTATCGTGAGATTTTGAGTGAAAACCTCCTTCCATCAGCAAGGGCATTGAAGATGAAACGTGGCTGGGTCTTTCAGCATGACAATGATCCCAAACACACCGCCCGGGCAACGAAGGAGTGGCTTCGTAAGAAGCATTTCAAGGTCCTGGAGTGGCCTAGCCAGTCTCCAGATCTCAACCCCATAGAAAATCTTTGGAGGGAGTTGAAAGTCTGTGTTGCCCAGCGACAGCCCCAAAACATCACTGCTCTAGAGGAGATCTGCATGGAGGAATGGGCCAAAATACCAGCAACAGTGTGTGAAAACCTTGTGAAGACTTACAGAAAACGATTGACCTGTGTCATTGCCAACAAAGGGTATATAACAAAGTATTGAGAAACTTTTGTTATTGACCAAATACTTATTTTCCACCATAATTTGCAAATAAATTCATAAAAAATCCTACAATGTGATTTTCTGGATTTTTTTTGCTCATGTTGTCTGTGATAGTTGACGTGTACCTATGATGAAAATTACAGGCCTCTCTCGTCTTTTTAAGTGGGAGAACTTGCACAATTGGTGGCTGACTAAATACTTTTTTCCCCCACTGTAGAAATTCCATAAAAAATCTGCCGTTTCCAGCTACAGTAGCCCTTTACAACATTAACAATGTCTACACTGTATTTCTGATCAATTTAATGTTATTTTAATGGACAAAAAAATTGCTTTTCTTTCGAAAACAAGGACATTTCTAAGTGACCCCAAACTTTTGAACGGTAGTGTACATATTTTAAAAATATATTTTCCTTTATTATTTTCCACTAACCCTACCACCCCTCCAAACATTTGAACGGTAGTGTATATCCAAAGATCAAAAAGCTGAACTGATAAAACACATTTTGATTTGCGGGGTACCGCTAGTAATATTTAATGATTATTTTAGAAACATATTGATGCCATAAGTCAATGGTGCCACCTGTCAATGATATTAGAGTGTGATATAAAGATGATTTCAATGGTTTCACTGTCCAGACCTGTCAACACTTGTAAGATATCCAGGCACAATGGGTCCTTGACTAACTCTGGAGGTGGTCAGGAAGATCTGATAACAAAATCAGATCACAATGTGTCTTTTAATCATCTACACCTGTCGAAATATGTGGTCACAATGAGAATGTGGACAAGATCAGGACAAAGAACGCATGTTAGAACCAAGTATAAACGTATTTTTTTACGATATGCAATGACATGAGCAATGCATGGTCTTACTACCATTCTGTGACTATGTGATGTTTACTTCAAATGCTTGACTTAACTTCACAGTGATACAGTATCTTTTACATACCTTCCTACATAAACTTCAGATTTATAAAGCAATTTAATGGTTACATATTGGGGTCAGACTGGTTAATGCTTTGTATTAGAAATGCAGTCAGTTGGTGGGGAATGAGGAGGGAGGTGTGCGTGTCTCACGGTTTGAGGTCCTGATCCAGCAGGATGTCATAGCCATAGAGCTCAATGCAGTGTTTGTCGTTGATGATTACTTTCTGCACACTCTGCAGGCTACGAACAAATATGTTGTCAACGTCCTTAAACAGAGCCTCTATGGTCTCTGTGCCATGCCTCGCAGTCAGGTATCGCCGAAGCTGCTGCATCTGCCACTTACAGCCCTACACACACAGAAGAGAGAATAGAGAGAGAGATTCATAGCAAAGTAATTTATTCTTCAATTTTGTTTAATAGTGGTCTTACAAAACATTTGGTCGATATAGATTACCCCCAACATTGTGAATTTTGAAGGAATTCTACACACCTTTTCAGGGTCATAATCTGGCGCTGTTTTTTGCACTGCCACATTGGTGAGATGGACATCTTAGGAGAGGCATTAAGGAGACATCTTCTCTTAGCCTAGTCCCATATCTGTTTGTGCTCCTGACAACTCCATTGCTGTCATTGCCAAGCCAAACAATTTCTAAAAACCTGTTTTTGCTTTGTCATAATGGGGTATTGTGTGTAGATTGATGAGGGAAAAAACGATTTAATCAATTTTAGAATAAGGCTGTAACGTAACAGAATGTGGATAAAGTCAAGGGGTCTGAATACATTTGGAATGCACTGTTTGACAGGGCAATGAGTGACAAGGAGTTGGCATGATGGCATAAACAGACTGGCACTGGAGAAAGAGATGATGGAGAAATAGTAGAACAGAATTTGGGTCAAATATATTTAAATGCCAGGCAATTCAAAAGACTCAAATTGTCACAGACAATTTATTATTAGGATTCCGGATTTCATCCTGAATTGAGTCGAGTTGAAATAGAGCCGACAGTTGGGAGTTTGTTTCTTAGGAAAATACAATTATTATTTGGCTGCAGAACAGTTGACTACTGTGTGCAGATAACTGCTCTTAGACAATAACTCAGCTCACATTTAAGGCTGTAATGAGGTAATGAGAAGGATACACTGGTCATCAATGCTGGTGAGAGAGAATCGAGTGCTGGAGAATCGGGCAAAGCCATCTCGATATAACCATGCCTTCAGTGGGATATACTAAGACACACACACACACACACACACACACACACACAAATGAAATCTAGTTAACAGTATTCAATTTACATATTTTACAGCATGTGTTGCTTACTCCATCAGTTGACGTGTCATGCCTGTATGAGTGAAGTGCTTTAATCCAATGATCTCCTAAAATAGTTATAGATTTGATTACTTTGATTTTGATTGATTTAGTGATTAAGAAGACCTAAACTTACTGATGTAACCAACACATAAACCCTCAAGTCAAATTTTCTCCCTATTTAAGGAAAGGTCATAAAAAGAGAAAGTTAGAGAAGAGCAATACATAAACATCAAAAGTATGCATTGTGTAATAATTTATTTCAAACTTAGACCTATTATCAAACTTAAGTTTAATGCACCACTGATAAGGTAGGGATTTTCTACGTAGCGCTGTGCAACGTAGCTCTCCACTTGAGTCTCATCTCTCTGCTCCTCTGAGCGACTCCCATCCTGTACAAACACAAACATCCACTGTCAGTGTGTGTGTGTGTTTGTCATTGTCTTTTTTCAAATGTATTATTACAAACATGGACTTAATGTTTACATGGTTTAAGGGCAACAACCTATAAGATATCTACATTGCACAACAATCATATAATGTCATGTTTCAACGTATTATATTACCGCATGGTGTTACCTTTTTCCAGTCCATGATGTCTTTTAGTTTTTGAAATAGAAAAATGCCCTTCCCCTGAGATCTTGCAACCTGAACAAAGATTGATAGAGGGAGATGAACTTCATAACTATAGTATAAAGATACAAATGTAATATGTAAGTGCATAATGTAAAAGCAATAGTTTTGTTTTGTCTACTCTTCTTATTACTGATGACAACCTAATGCTAAACTATGCTTGTGTGAATTGTCACGTTCACTTTTGAAAATAATGCATTTGTAGACTTATAGACTTAGTGCACAGGTATGTTCTGATTGTATGATTGTTCTGTGTTTTTTTAATTGGAGCTGCCTTGTTTGCCACGTCTCCCTTGGAAAATACATGTTTTTGTATCTTGATGGGAATGGATTAAATAAAGGTTAGATAGGCCTAGATTAAACATTAAAACAAATCTGCAGGTCCTCTCACCGGTTTCATGATCCAGGTGCTGCCCGGGCTCCGTTTGAACTCTTCCACAAAGAGGTGGTATTCACTGGGCAGTTCAAAGGTTCGGGGGAAAAAGTCACATTTGGCTGCTTCAATGCGGCCAGCTTCCCTCTCAAGGGTTTTGCGGTACCTCTTCAGGTTTTTCACCATTAGGTTCTTGCGCGTTAGCTGCATCATAAAGCAAATTAAGATTATGATACAGTACAAACATAAGTGTTATGTTATGAGTGGCAATCTGCGATTGGTACACCCATTTTTTGACTTTTAAATGAATGATAGCCTATATACCCATTGATTCTTGAAGAAACGCCTCATGATCTTACTTACATTTACATTTACATCATTTAGCAGACGCTCTTATCCAGAGCGACTTACTTCAACTAGTAATGTATATTTTTGATCTCATGGATGGTCAGTCCTTTCATCCATAAGTCTGTCTAACTATGAATTTGAGAGTGGTTGCATTTCTCCAGCCCCATTCCTCAGCTGTTTACCAAAACAGTGTGGGGTGCCCGCTTTGTTGTTTGAACTGCAGATTGCCCTTATAATACGCATTACTATAAATATGAGCGCCACATGGGAAAATATGTTACAGTGACACCTGCTGTCCATATATGGTAACAGCTATTTTTACAATACATGGTAACACTACTGTAGGGATCCTCATGCATCATAAAAGCCTTCACAACAGCTAAAACATTATAATGTCCCCTATAGGCAGTGATTAACATGAATCTTATGGACACCGGCATAAGATTTTTTGAGGCTGGTTAGGCTATAGTTAGGCAAATATGTTGTCATGTGCTTCTATGTCAACTTCTGCACATGACAACAGATTTGCCTGCCATCTAACTAGAATACATATGACGGCTATTATAGCCTAATGTATTTTGTAGGCTAGTGTTGTAAAGGGTTTATGAATGCCTACATAGGGGGTCCCACAGTAAGTGTTACTGACTAATGTGTAATGGTACTGACTGACCTCATAATGATTGCGAAAATGGCATATCCTCACGTGTTCTTCCATGTAGGAGTGGTCGAAATTCTCCCTCAGCCACCCAACATCACACCAGTTAAAATCCCATTCTCCATCACTGTGCTCACAGATTAAAAAAAAAAAACATGGGCATTTGACTTCTTGTAAAGTTGGCTAAGTCACTCTGGATACAATAAGCTAATTAAAATGCTCACACGCACTCACACATACATACATACATACATACATACATACATACATACATACATACATACATACACTCTGGATACAATATGCTACATAGCCTAATCAAAATGCAATGTAGTGCGCACACACACACAGATTGTGGCTAAGTTATTAGGTCTAGCCTACACAACTCACTCTTTGACCTCCATCCAGCCTGGTCTTTGCCGCAAAACATCCTGAATGGTGTTTGTTAGGCCACATTTGTAACGCACACAACTTCTTCCCTCCCTGTGGAGTCAACAAGTGGTTTGTTAGTTTCTTCTATTGCCAAGCTATGTCACAAACATCAGACATCCAACATCATCACACCAGATAAAATCTCATTTGCCATTACTGTGTTCACAGATCACAAATCATGTGCATTTTACTTATTGTCATGTAAGCAAGTCAGTCTACACTAAGAAACACAAGTTATATCTAGAACCTAAATGGGTTCTTCGGCTGTCCCCATAGGAGAACCCTTTGAATAACCCTTTTTTGTTCCAGGTAGAACTATTTTGGTTCCATGTAAAACCTTTTCTTCTAAGAGTGTGTACACACAATATAGCTAGTAAAATGCAAAGAAACAAAACACACGCACACACACACACACACACACACACACACACACACACACACACACACAGCTAATAGCATTAGCCTACAGTGGCTATCATCAATTAGCTAGCTGGGTGTCAAAATGAATGTCAAATTCGCTATGTACTGTCAGATGTTTCAAATCATGCTAGTGAGTAACGTTAGTTAGCTAGCTAACGTTAGCTGGTTAACAACCATATTTGCAGAACAACTCACCCCTCTCTTCTTTTTTGATAACCATAAGGACCCTTGTATCCAGCAGTCTGGTAAAACGATGAATGAGTTAAGCTAGCTAGCCATTCACAATTGCCTGAACAAGTGATAGGCTAATAAGTTAGCTAGCTAGACATTTAACGTTAACGTTAGTCGATTATCTTTGCTAACGTTCACAACAGACAAAGCTAAATATATCTGCCTCTGACACAATGAAGTCCTGACCAGACTACCCTAGGCAGCTGATAATCGGCGCTAGATCTGCTCTAGAGCCCACTATCAGCTGCCTAGAAGAACCAGAGCCTTCAACTTCACCAGTGTCAGAACCACAGGTTAAAATGCACAAACAGTAACGTTAATGTATCTAGAGTTGGCTACACAGCATGCAAGCATTTTCATTTGAATGGCTTTCCTACCCTATTCTTTGACATGTTTCCGTGGTAGCATTCGCCACATCTGTTTCCAGGGCTCAGCTAAAAGGCTACTTAGCTAAATGTTTAGCTAGCTGTCGAGTAGTTTGACCAGAGATACTAGAAAGGAGTAGCTAGCTAGCTAGTATCTCTCTGGTTTGACAACACATGTTGTCATGGCAACCTCATTTCAGAGAGGTGAAAGAAAAAAACTGTATTTACAATTACATGAATTCCAATTAATTACACACAAAACTTTGAACATTTATTTACATTTATTTTCATATTTCCCAAATCATAGGAAGAGAGAAAAAGCGTACAGGTAACCCCCTTTTCAGTCAGTACAAGACACACTGACGTCACGCACAGACGCGCTTGTCTTTTGGATGCGCTACTAATGCCGCCTTCAAATAACTGGGAGCTCGGAACTCTGAAACCTCCAACTTCAGTGCGTTCATGACAAATGGGAACTCGGAAAAAAACGAACTCCGACTAGGAAAATTCGTTTTGAACGGTCATCCAACTCGGAAGTCCAAGTCGGGAACTCGGGCCTCTTTCTAGAGCTCCGATTTTCCGACTTTAAGATTACTGACGTCATTTTACCTCGTTTTTTTCCTAGTTCCCAGTTGTCTTGAACGCACCATAAGAAAGCCATCACCATCTGCGCCCATTCAACATAGCCTAGAATTACGTTTTTATTACTTCTAAACAAAATAACTGTTTAGGGTTCTCATACGCATATAATACTATATTTGGTTGTGATCTTTGCTAAATAACAATTTTGGCTGAAGCAAAAGCTAGCCAAAGAGCCATTTTACTACAGATAGAACAATGAGCCAGATACTTTCTCATCGATGAAACATTTGATATCCATACAGTTTTCTGTTTCCAAAACTATAATCTGTAACAAACAGAGTGGACTGAGTTTCTAAAAATTGCGTTGTTTAGAAGGAGTGCAAGAGCGAATTGAGTTAGTGCAAACGCTCACTTCACAGAGCAGGCGTTCCCTAACGAAAATATGCTAATAAATGCTAGAACGCACTAATAGGATCTCACTAGCTTGGCTCTGCCCACCTCCTTGCTTGTTCTGCCCACTATGATTAATTTGCTCCCATTGGAAAATACATGGTCTATCTTGGGTTAGTTATAAAAATCTTAGATTTTACTGGTTGAAGTTGAAGTGTTTAAAAAAAGTATAATGCAGTTGATTTGCGATGATGACACAAACATTATATTAAGCAGGTCATTCATACGAGCCTAAAATCCAATTCTAATCCAAAAGTAGTGTGAAATGCACTCATAAGCAACATGTAAATGGAGGCGTTTTTTGCTGGCGCTCTATGAGAACTCTCCCATGATCTGCCACCAATTTGGGCGCATCGCCCTCGTGTGGCAGTGTTTGCAAACACAGTAAGGGGTCTGTCTATTTCCAGGCTGTCTCCCAATCCAAAATTCAAGCCCGACCATGTTTACGCTGCGTTCGTAACCAAGTGGGAAGTGGAAATTCACCATATATGACTGGGAAAAAATCCACTTGAACGGCCCTCCAACTGGTAATTACTAGTGGGAAACTCATCTATCATCTTGAGCTCCCACTTCTCCCACCTGCTGACCTCTGATGTCACTTACTAAGGAAATGACCTCAATACAGCATTTTTGGCAGTTAAATCCAACAACAACACATTATTTACACATAAGCAATCTATTAATATGGTTTTTGAACACTATAATTTGTTTACAAGCATGATAGCTGTACTTGTTGTTTATCCCTTTATTTTATCTGGAAGCCATACTGAGACCAAGGTCTCTTTTACATGAGCCCTGAATTACAGAAATTACAGAAAATGCAAGCAGAAAGAAAAACACAGTCATAAACAACAAACACATTCATCAGTAATAATGTCCTCAATTCGATTTTTTGAATTGCCCTAGAGGAATCAAAACATCCAATTTAAGAACATTTTGAAGATTGTTCCACAAATAAGTCGCAAGAAAACTTAAAGCTGATTTACCTAACTCGGTAGAGACCAAAGGAATTTCCAGAGATAACCATCCCTGAGACCAAGTGTGGTAACTCATAACTCAAAAGTTTAGTAATGTTGTTAGGTAAGGTGGGAGTTTTTGTAAAAGGGCTTTATACATGAAAACATAGCAATGTGTCAACCTACGTGACATCAAAGAGGGCCAACCAACTTTCTGGTAGAGAATGCTGGGATGAGTACTAAAACTGTCGCCCATAATAATGTGCAGTGTGCCATGTTAAACTGCATTTAACGGCTTTAATGAAATGGCAGCTGCGTTCATTTAGATGATGTCACCATAGCCTAGGACCGATAGGAAGGTCAACTGAATAATCTGCTTTCTACTATTTAGCTAGAGGCATGACCTATTTCTATAGAACAAGCCCATTTTTATTATCAGCTTCTTAACTCATCAATATGCTTTTAAAAAGACAGCTTTTCCTCTATCCAGATGACCAGATATTTGTAAGCAGGGACACGATCAATATCGACACCATCCAAAGTGTTTAAATCATCATCATGCATGTAACTAGTTAAAAAATTACTTTACAGATAGAACTCAATGTGTATCTACTGATAGTTTTAAATCAGGTTTTCTGGACATAACGAAAGGTGTCCCGCAGGGTTCAATTCTGGGTCCTGTACTTTTTACTGTTTACATTAACAATATGGACTGTAAAAAATTGGAACCTGCACTTCTATGCCGATGATACTGTTGTGTATGCTATTGCCCTCACGGTTGACCAGGCGCTATCTGAACTACAGTCTGCTTTCATTGTATTACAGAAACACTTTATTGATCTGAAATTAGTATTGAATGCAAGTTTTAAAAAAGCCTGGTCTAGGCAAACTGAGGAAAGCTTCTGAATAAGCAGTGAGTGATCAACGGTATTGAAGGCCTTTGACAGGTTAATGAAGAGGGCAGCACAATGTTGCCTTTTATCCACATCATGTATAACTAGGGATGCAGCAGAGATACTGATATGACCTGGTCTAAAACCCGACTGATGTACATTTAGAATACATTTCAAAGATAAGAAAGATTTTAGCTGAGAATTAATCAAGGATTCTAATTTTTAGCTAGGCAAGAAAGTTTAGAAATAGGGCGATAATTAGTTAGGTCACAACGGGAACCCCCTTTGTGAAGGGGGAGTACATGGGCCGGGGGAGTGTGAAGGGGGAGTACATGTCACGTTAAAAAAATATGGTTTAATGATTCAGCAATCAGGGGGGCAAAGAGCTGCAGCAAAAATGGATCAAGCATATCAACCCCAGTGGATTTATTTTCTCTGAATTGTTTAAAAGAGGCGTGTTTATCTGCCAGAGGAATAAATATGGAGGATACATTTTCTAGAGCCAACTCAGGGTCAGGAATACAGGAGACAGTGGCTAAATCAGAGTAGAACATGTCATGTAAAAACCCTTGAGGAGAAAACTTTTAAAAATGTATCTTCTTAATTAAACAAGGATTAGTATTTTGCTGTTTGGTATCTCTAATACATGCTATGGGACAATGATCACTGAGATCATATGCAAATACTCCACTAGACAAATATTTCTGGGGGTTATTAATAAGAATTCAATCAATGAGGAGTTAACAGGGTTTTTCACATTTAGCCGTGTGGGTTTTGAGATCAATTGTGTCAGACTAAAATCAATGCATATACTTTTAAATTGATTGAGGTCGGGGATAGCCAACCCAGATTCAAATCCTCAAAAATGACCAACTCCGAGGACAGAAAGCACCAACAGCATCCGACATGGCAGTAGGGCGGTGGTAAATCCCAGCAACAAATACATGTGTATTCTGGTTTATGGACACATCTACAACCAGGAGCTCAAATTTCTTGGGAACAGAAATATTTAAAGTTCGGGGCGCCATGAAATTCGATTTAACATATATGGCCACTACTCTCCCTTTCTGTAATGTGTCAAATCTAAATACATTATAATTATTTATTTCAATGTCTTTATCAGAGACAGAACCATTTAACCATGTTTCTGAGAGAACCAGAATGTCAGGACACGAGTCCTGTACCCAAATGTAAATTGTGTCAATTTCTTTACTCATACTTGGCACATTTAGGTGCATTAGCCCAAGCCCCCTACATGACATAAAGTCAGAGGGGGTATTCAGCTCATTTCCATAAGAGCTAACAGGCATAGGGTCATTACATTTACATTTTAGTCATTTAGCAGACGCTCTTATCCAGAGCGACTTACAGTTAGTGAGTGCATACATTTTTCATACTGGCCCCCCGTGGGAAACGAACCCACAACCCTGGCGTTGCAAGCGCCATGCTCTACCAACTGAGCTGGTCATCTGCAGCTATTTGTTGAGTGAGCTGAGACTTTGCCAAGGTCCCTGGCCAACCACGTGAGAGCAGAGCAGACTAAGCATTCAACAGACCTCCCTAAAGTCGCTGGATGCAGGGGCTTGCGGGAACTGGGTGAGTATTGTTGGCAGAGATCAGTTCCGGCCGGATGAAGCTCCCACCAAAGGAGTGGAGCTGCTGCAGATGACCGGAGTGGCTGCCAATGCTCCATTCTGGGTGTGCACAGGAGGCCTTGGTGTGGCTCCTGTTGCAGGGTTGGAGCTGCCATGGGGGGCAGTAGTGTCCCAGACCTGTCCTGGGGATAGGAGTAGGGAGGTAACCAAAATTAGCCTGGGAGGGAGGTTGTGGGGGAATTGAGGAGGGTGGTGCGGAGGGCAGTGTAGCTGGCAAAGCTCCTAACTCTCAGCATATGAGGGCTGATGATGTGAATGATACATGGTGTGGACTGCATCATGTGGTGCACTACCATCAACAGTGTTTTGCCAGACCCTAAGGTAGTGGTCGGTGCAGTGTAGAGCTGGGCTGAGTTGATGCAGGCCTGATTTGGTAACATGGGAGGGAGGTTGTGGGGTGAATTGAAGAAGGTAGGGTGGAAGGCAGTGTCGCTGGCGATGCTACAAACTGTGTGGGGCCACTGTGACTGGCTTGAGCATAGCTCAGTGTATCTGCATGCAGTTCCTGGGAGAGAAGTGGTGGCGGGTGATATGGGGGGCAGTGTTGCTGGCTGTTCATCAGTCTCTGTGAGGCGCCACCAGATGCAGGTCTAAAGGAGTGTCTGATTAGTCTCAG